GACTTTTGCCTTTTGAAATACAAAAGTAACATATTTGATCTAAGTAGGAGTTAACTATGTTTTTAACATCTAAACTAACGTGATTTCTATGTTAATTTCTAATACTTAAAAAATACATGGATTTGTTTCTTATATTAACTTCTTTTTTTATATGATAAACTATGTGTTGTTAATGCTGGACCAATAGTGTGCTTTGGAACAGAGTGATGAAAGTAGAAAGAAAACATGATGTAGGAGAATAGAGAAAACGATAATCTTCTCATTAACAAGAAACTGATATATGTATATCAGATACAGAAGTAGAAAACTGTCTTTTGACAGTTAAAACCGTTAGGTAGTTTAGTTTTACATTTTAACACTCCCCTTTAAATCTAAACTACTCAAAGATCTAACACCAAGAGAGTCCCTCAGCCTTTCAAATCTGTTTAGCCGTAATGCCTTAGTAAAGATGTATGTTGTTTGCTCATCTGTAGTGCAGTACAACAGTTCTAATCTTTCCTTACTGACTTGATCTCTGAGATAATGAAACTTATTCTCTATATGCTTGCTTCTGCCATGAGAGACTGGGTTCTTGGACAAGCTGATAGCTGATTTGTTATCCACCATCAATCGTGTTGGTTTACAATGCTCAATCCTCAACTCTCATAGAATAGCTTCTAGCCAAGCACATTGGCAAGCAGTTTCTGCTGTAGATATATACTCTGCTTCGCAAGATGAGAGTGCAACAACATTTTGTTTCTTTGAGCACCAAGATATTGAAGCTCCCATCAATTTGAACAGGTATCCAAAGGTGCTCTTCCTATTCACTTGATCACCACTCCAGTCTGCATCACACCATGCCTTCAAAATATCACACGTACTGTCAACCTTCCTAGGAAAATGAAGACCATAATCCGTTGTTCCCTTCAAGTAGCGCAGAATGTGCTTGGCTGCTGCAAGATGAGACTGTCTTGGATCATGCATGAACCTGCTTACAAGCCCGACTCTGAAGCTGATGTTCGGTCTGCTGTTGCATATGTAACAAAGAGTTCCTACAATCTGCTTGAACAGGGTTGCATCAACCTTGGTCTCTTCTTGCTGACACGTGAGTTGTAAGTTTGCCATAACTGGGACAGATGTGCTATTACAGTTCTTCAAGTTAAATCTCTCCATAGTCTCTAAAATATACTTTCTTTGATGCATGAACATTCCATCTTCTGTCTGCACGAATTCCACCCCCCAAGAAAGTACCCCAAGCTACCAAGATCTGTCATTTCAAGTTCATTCTTCATCTTCACCTTAAATTCTTCAATTTCGTGTGTGGAGCTTCTAGTGACC